CTAACCTCAACTTCATCGACTTTGAAAAGGCATTTGATAGCGTTGACCGACATGTAATTTGGAAACTGCTTCAATACTACAGTTTAGTGACACAAACCTTTATCATCCTCATTGAGCAGCTAAGCTATATGAAGACGCCACATGCCAAGTAATTCACAGTGGGAAGATAATTGATGCGTTTAAAGTGAAAACAGGAGTAAGACAAGTCTGTCTACTGTCATCCATGATATTCCTGATTGTAGTGGACTGAATCATGCAACAAACATTGAAGAACGAGAAGATGGGAATTCGCCGATCAATCTCCACTTTCTTCCACAGCTTATTTGTTAAGCGATAGCTTCTTGGCTAGTTCTTTGCCAGAGTTCCTCGTTGCTTATTTTTTCTGGCCTTCTCATCTGATCTCCAGTATGGAGTGAGCTTAAGCAGTTGTTGATGAATATCTGTAGTTTGTTGGAAATCCCTTTCGTGACGCGCTAAGTTTCTGAGCCACACAGAAGCACTGATTTGACTTTGGTGTTGAAAATCTGGATCTTGTTCATGCTTTATGCTGTATGTAGTGCAGAAGATCTCCACACTGGATTCAGGTTAATGAACGCCTATCTTGCTCTCTTTCTAATCCTGGTTTCGACATCCTCGTCAGTGCCGCTTGTAGTTGAAACAGTGTTGCCTAGATAGGTGAAGGAGGCTAATTCCTTCAAGTTTCTTCCCTTGAAGGTGATTGGAGTTTGTTATTGTTGTTGTTGGTCGGGTATCATCATCACTTCTGTCTTCTGTATATTCACTTGAAGTCCCGTCTTCGCTGCCCTGCCCTGCCTCTTCCGCCAACTTGTTAGTTTTCGCCTGTAGAACTGCTAGTTTGTGCGACATCAGACACAAGTTATCGGCGTGATCCAAGCCTTCTAGGTTCTTTTCTGCTGTCCAGCGTATCCCGCTCTTCTCGCTCCCCACTGTTTGTTGCATGATCCAGTCGACCACAATCAGGAATATCATGGGGGATAGTAGGCAACCTTGTTTCACCCCTATCTTCTCTTCAAAAGCATCAGTCAAATTAGGATACTGACTTCGAATCTGTCAGAAGTATTGGTGAGCTGATTAGGATTAATTCAGTCATTACTCAACCACTACTGAATTAAAGCGAATTTCTAGTCACTGTGATAATAAATAATCATTTATATCCAACTGACTATGATACGGCATTTCAAAAAACTTTATATACAAGCTTTAGTCTTGAAATTTTACTGAATTTGGACTCAGAAATAGGTCTAGAAGCAAATTTGACGGAAAGAGATGATGTTGAATGGCAATATGGCTGTGTCAAAGACTAATAGCAGTTGAAAAATATGTACTACAGACTTTTAAACCATTCTCTAAATGAATATCTAATCACTAAAGCATCTTACTGTACTTCATTGGACTCTACTTCAGTTATTCAACACTTGCAATCAATAATCTCAAAAGTGGAATGAAACAGTTATTCACTGAGCGCCAATTTTAATTATTCTTCAAAAGTTTGCTGCGAATCTGCAATGATAACTAACATGATAATCCATGAGTAATGATCCACTGAAAGTCTAAGTTGTTAGTGTGCACATCATATTTATCTCTCCAACTAAATACTCTTCTTGCTTTTGAGTGTTTTATGCGTTACATCATTCTCCGTTTAGTGCACATAGTCAAACGAAACAACTATTTGGGTTATGCGAATCTTTCGACTGTAGTGTGAAGGTATGATTTTCAACTTCAAATCCAGTTTTTTGGAAACATTCAATCAGTCCTACCCAAGCACTTAGACTGCTATTATCATTACGGAACTCAGGTCTGGGATTAAATACCTGTAGTGGTTACACTGAACAAGATTTTGATCTCCATGAGAATGGTATCAAGTCTTGCAGTGTAGAAAGAATATCACTCAAAAAATTCTTTTTCTCATCAGACTCTTGAGTGTATACATCAGACAGTTACGCAGAGTCATTCTTTTTGTCAAATAACATTCTATTCTATAAACAGAAGATTTCACTTTCTCGGGGTCCAGGCTATAGGTGCTAAAGTGAACGATGCTCACTCCCCTGGAAGCGACGGTTAACTATCAACAAGAAAATTGCAGCGAATGACAGTCATTTTATGATTGTATATTGCATTCCACTGTCATAATGGTGAGTTATCTAATATATTATTTCAAGCGGAAATTTATCACAATTTTCCAGATGTTCGCTGTAAGTATTCTTAACTAAAAACTAGTCATTTATTTTCAATGTAAATTTCAAGTGTCTTTACTTCAACAGTCATTTTTGCAGTAAGACGCCAGTTTTCCTTATAAAAGTTGTGAGTTATTAAGGATTTATGGTGACAGTTAATCTTTTCAGACGATAAGAAGAGAATAATGGTTAAATCGTTTAGGATTTTTATATTTTGTCTGTAGAAAAGTAATTCTGGAATTTCCTCTTGAAAAATACTTTAACTGGGAAGTCAACGGTGATTATAGCTTAACTGAAATGAAAGGTGGACTTGACTCTTAAGCGAGTACCCTGACAGGAATTCAAAATACAACTAAAGAAACTGATTCATAGAAATGGCTTCATTCAATAGTAGCTAAGACTGTAGTAGGGTATTTACTAGTGAATAAACTATTACTTCAATTGAGATAAGCTTTGACTTAGGTTCAACAAATTCATGGCATGAACATCACTAAACCAGAGACTTCTACGGTTTCTTGTGCATAAGATTCTGGAAATCAAATATTATACAAAGGTGAACAAGATCTCACTGCATGAAATGCTGTTCAGCAAAAAACACAGCAGACATGATTTTCGTCTGTGTGACTGGAAGTTCCTCGATTCGAAAACATTCGTAACTAGTGACTTTTCTTAGCTGGCATAACTACGTTCAGCATTTGCTGAGATGAAAATTCACAAATCTACTGAATATGGAAGAATATCCCACGAAATTAGCTTGTAATGTGCATGCGAAAAAAGTGTGAAACGGGGCTGTTCGTGATCTGATTACATTTTGTTAAATGATGCCAGGTATTTAGAATTGCTGTTACATTCATGAATTTAACAGGCTCATTAGTTAGACCGACTAGGGAATAGTCTTTCCTTGTCGATTTGCTTTGATGATTGGAAAGTCTTCACAATTGATGGTTGGGAGATGTGAGCATTTCTTGACCATTGTATCCTTCAGACCGTAATTCATTGTGTTTCTTCCTATGATTGTGTGTGGAAACCAGGCAAACGTCGATATTTGGAAGGATTTCGAATGAAAAGAAGTGACATGATGACTTGTGTTCCTGAGAAATCTGAAGATTACGGAATTCTGCTACGATGTTGATTTTTCTTTCACCTCCGATCAACACCTTGCATCTGTAATTTGGATCGGCTAAACCACGGGCATCACAAATAGTCACACTGATTTCAAAATAGTATTAATTTCTGTATGGGTAATGATGACTGATATGATGAAAATAACATGGTCACACAAAACAAACGAGTTTATATCCTTTCTAATCCTTTCATCATATACATGAATGAGTCTACTAGTGCTTTAAATTGGGCGCCAAATTTACAGACAATATACACTGTCACTTCAAACAAACAATTGTTAATTAGCTAAATGATACACTTTCAAGTATGGACTTCCTTCTCTGATGAATGCAACTGAACAATCAGATGTGGGTATTTACACCAAAAGTGAAATACGCATATTTCATGAAGGCTAGTCATACTGCCTGGTGGATATTTCTGTGTGAACAGGCGGAAAGGGGTTGGAATCTGTAACTAACTGGTTGCATACTCATGCACAATAACACTCTTGAACAGTCATGGGAAAACCTGCTCTCATTCACAAAACCTGATTTCCACCAACTGCCTGGTGGTCATACATAACATGAGATGAAATTGCCACATTTCTTGAAGATGGAGTTCTGTTTCGAAATACTCGTCTATAAATGTTAGTTAGTCAGCGAAGTTTTTCATCTTGTTTAGCCTTTTCGACTATCCAGCTTCGCCTACATCGACCTCTTAAGATATCATGAAATAAACCTTCCTTATTTTGAAAACGAACTCTTGGCTGATCATGATTTAATTCACTGTTCATTATTTTCTTCATGTTTGCTTGTAAACATGGTATCAACCGGTTATTGTCCTAGGCGTTGTTGTAATTTTGAACCACATCAGCCAAATGCCGATAAAGAACTAGGAACCTTTTGACAACTGATTTCTCTGTCTTTGAGGCTTTTCACTCGTCAACAAACACAAGACTATGGTGGATAGAAGATATGATCGTTAGATCTTGCGTCGGTCGCGTTATCATTCAACCATTTTGTTGAATTCAATAGGGTACGTTTTGCGATCACCAAAGGTCTGTGTGAAGGCGACTGAATCCGGAGTATTCTTCAGGCACTGACATCTGGGAATCTTAATACTTACATGTCTCATGTCCATCCGTAGTGAATACCCTAAAATCAGTCAGCTACACACGACCATTGCAGCTTGATGTCAAACCAACTTACCTCAGAAATTAAAAGACTGAGCATGACCAATATGCAAAGAGAGTCTGTTGAAAGGATATTTTACACAATCGTCAACGCTATGTCTACCGGAAAGAAAGTCTTCATATCTGAACCCTGAGACGTTGAAGATGCTGAAGACATTACTTAGCTGCCAACCCACAACACTGTTGGATAATCTGGTTCAACTGGAGGCAAAAATCATTCATACACCTTATAACTTGACGTGTCCAGACAAGCTGACATGTTCAAAATGACATTAGACTTTGCGAAGATTGCAGAATGCTGTCTAAAATTTCATTCAGTACTTGACATTAGCATAGTTTGTGATAGAACATTCCAGAATCCACTGACAAAAATGACGGATTGTGGACGATCTAGGTGAGCTTCCTCTTCTGTGAGTACGATAGACTTAATGCTTGCCCTAATCGAAAAATAGATCAGAAAATATCAACATCCTTCGAAGTTATCCTGAATTTGTTTGTAATTCCAAACATAAAACAGTGGAGCAAACAAATTTGTGCACTTACGTGAATGATATAATGATTTTCAATCAATGTTTACATACTCTTGTAAATATTAGGTCAGCGATCGTAAGTACTGTGTCATTTGTTATCTTGTGACCGGTGTACCCGACTGGGTGACAGAAGTGAACTATCCTATCATGAATTGCCTGATTCATAGTGATCGGAAGGTGGCAAACTTCAGGACTAACCAACCGTTTGAATATCAGAAGACAGAACTGTAAGTCACCTGGCTGTGTATATATGTTAACCAATCACATCCACACTGAAGAATATTAGTAAAACAAAGTAGTCACTTACAGCATATGCAGGGAAATACAATAGGAATGAAATCAGTTATCATCAAGCCTTCATATAAGGAAGATTGAATCAAGGGAAATGTAAAGATGAGTAAGCAACCATTGTTTGTTTGTATGCAATTCAGTTCCGTTCATCACAAAATATTCTGGTTATCGTGTATGCATATGTGAGTTTGACACATGACAAACGACCATCGCCACTGTTTTCATGAGAACAGTGAGAGTGGAAAATCAAAGATGTATCCATAATTCTCTGAGAATGAGAACAACGCATACCATGATTGCACACTGAAACAAATACAATAAGAAGAATAGGGTTATATGATATCAGGCATCAGTCAGTGCAAACTAATGATGAGGTAAAAGAACTTCTGGTGGTTGTTAAATAACGTGAATTGTCTGATCAGCATTTCGGCTGTTAAGCACACATTCAGACAATCCAATGAGTTTCACCATGAGTGGCAGACGTGGTTAGTAAGTCAGATGAAGTCAGAGAAGAAGTTGGTCATCGATTGGATTCGATGTTCGGCAATAATAGAGCGATGATTGATTAATCCAGTCACTAGCCTATAGTGGAATCTTAGCAGAAATATGTGAGGAGTTGTTGGTGTAGTTTGTGACAGTTGGAAATAGATGTCAATGCCTCAGAAACTGACTCTTTCTGTAGTCAGCATGTATTCCCATAACACTGATCGGTCAATCAAGACATAGCAAGGGATTAGTCTGGGACGAAGAGTAGTGGTTCTACAGGGTGTCATGGGTGTTATTATGTTCCAATGGATGGTGCGTCATCTTCATTTCGGTTATGGGTTCTCAGAACTCAAAATTCTCAGAGATATGCAAAAGGTGATCACCAGGGATTAAGTGCTGTGTCAAAACGTTTATAGAAAGAACAAAACGGATGTTCTCTTACTTTGTACTGTTCCAATTTGAGGACAAGACAGTTGATTATTGTGAGTGATCTAAACAGTTTGAAGCGTTATGCATTTAAATTATTTTACATATCTTGATTCATAAAATAGAAGCTTTTGACCATTGAAAATATTGAAAGTTAAGTGAACTTCAGTAATTGATCAAATCATGATATTTGGTGGAAGGGATGAGTGATTTTTAAGGCCATTCTGGAAACTGGTGAAACAACCAATTACATTCTTTTCTTTTATGAAAAGTACTTTTCCAGGCGAAACACTGAAGCCTGATTGGTCATTCCAACAGATTTTAGGGTGGCTTTTAGAGTCTCCTGGAAGGGATAAATTCTCTCCACCTTCATTGTAATGATTAACTCATGATTTATCTGTTTTCTGGCAAACAAAATTCATGATTCATCTGATTGGCCTAAACACAATCAGTCACAGTCTTGTCTTTGATACCTGAATGTCTGTCACTCTGTGGAATTGATATTGAAATGGTTATAGACGACCTATCAGAGTACAACACGAATTATTTCACCTTCTTCTGATTACTGTATCTGATATACCGTAGAGATTTGTGCTCACAGGATTTTATGGATGTTGAATAACTGAAAGAGGGTAATAAAATGGAAGCTGACAATCTCATTTATCAGTCTGTTAGACTGATTGATGCCTTGTGTCACAGATATTTGATTTACGCTGTTGTGCAGTCAGAATAATCTCATTGGACAGTAAGATCCCGATTAGAATGAAATAACTGACCATTTTCAAAGTGCCTTGTAATATGTGTCAAAGCCACATATATGTTAGTGTAAATGCAGTGTGTTTCCGTCGAGTGAAACCTTGTTCACATTCACATGTAATACGTCTGCATGTGATATCTGTGCAGTTCAGTAAAGCATAAAATGTCTGGTGACTACTTGTTATTTGGAAAATTGTTGCCACATTTCAGTGTAGTATTTGGAGTCAAAATTCTACCTCAACTTCGTCGACTTTAAGAAGGCCTTTGACAGCGTCGACCGACAAGTAATTTGGCAGCTGCTTCAACACTACGGAATACCACAAACATTTATCAACCTCATTCAACAACTATATGAAGACACCACATGCCAGCCAAGTAATTCACAATGGGAAGCTCAGTGACACCTTTGAAGTGAGGTGAAGACGGGAGTGAAGAAAGGCTTTCTCCCATCACCTATGATATTCCTGATTGTAATGGACTGGATCATGCAACAAACAGTGGGTAGTGAGAAGAGGGGGATATGCTGGCTGGACCAGGGAGAAGAACCTAACAGATTTGGATTTCGCCGATGACTTGTGTCTAATGTCAACCAAAAGTGAATATCTTCAGGTGAAAACTAACAAGTTGGCGGAATAGGCGGGGCAGGGCAGTGCAGGACAGCGAAGACAGGACTTGAAATGAACGTAGAGAAGACAGAGGTGATTCAGATACCCAAAAAATGCCACCACCATCACCAACAACAAGCTTCAATCACCATCAACGGGAGAAACTTAAACGAAGTAGCCTCTTTCACGCACCTACCTAGAGAGCACTATTTCAACCACAGGTGGCACAGGCAAAGACGAGGACGTCAAAGCCAGCCAGGATCGGAAATACAAGACATTCGTTCATTAGTCTGAAACCAGTGTGGAGATCTACTGCTCTCTACTCAGCATGAAGCGTGAACAAGATCCGGATTTTCAACACCAATGCCAGTCAAGTCAGTGCTTCTATATGGTTCAGAGACTTGGCGCATCACGAAAAGCATTTCCAACAAACTACAGATATTCATGAATAACTGCCTACGCTGGCTCGTTACTGAAGCTCAGATGAGAAGGCGTGAAAGATTACGCAACAAGGAACTCTGGTCTGGTAACGAACCAACCAAGAATCTATTGCTCAACAAATATGCTCTGGAAGGGAGTCAAGGTGAATTGGGAAGGCTGGCTGGGAACATCACGCACCAAGCACTTGATTAGAATCCCGATGGGAAACGACAAGTTTGGCGTCCGAGGTGAGGGCGACATAGAGGAGATGGTGTTAGGTAGAAATGAGAGCTTGTGAGCTGTCGCGGAACCAGGTTCAAAAGATTTCAGAGAAGAGAGTGGAATGGAGACATGCTTCTGAAGCGCTTTGTTCCATTAGGAACTCAAGGGATAAATAAACAAATAAATAATAAAATGTGGAGTTGCTGTAAAAGTACCCATCTTTCAGTCTTTTCAGCAGCCTTACAAGTCACAATGCCCCGAAGGCAACTCAGTCGATCAGGTTTTCATTCAAGACTCAGTTACATGAGGATGCATCCAACAAACCCGAACATCGTGGAGTGTCGTTAGCATACACCTTACATTTGGCTGATGCTATTCTCTCCTTATATCGATTGAATCAATCACCCAATTCACATCTTTGCTTATTTGACGAAAGTTTTATAAGTTCTTGTGGACTGGATTTCCAACTTTAGTATTTTCAGACTTTCAGTCGGTTTCAAAGAGTCTGCAACGACAGACACTTGTTCGTATAATCAATGTGATGAGATTACTCTTTAGAAAAAGCCAACAAACCTCATTCACTTATGTAAATGAAATGCTTACATTGATTAGTATCAAAACTATCGATGCATATGCAACAATTGCCACGTAACTGAAGGCTTTCTGTCCAAATGGTTCTTTGCAACTTTGATTATGATGCTTGTCATGAGATGAGAAATATTCATGTGGACAGTTTTTGTCAATCAACTCTAGATTATCATTCATCATACAACATGGTATTGGAGTTTCAACAGCTGAAAGAGAATTACATTCAAGTTCAATTGTAATTATTTACTTTCAGAACTAACTGGATTACAGTATAAAATGAATGAATTGCATTTCTGTGACAAACGAGATGAATGTTAAAACCAATTTTTATTTCAGTAACCTATCCACACAGATTGTCCATCCTTCTGTCATTATTATTCTACGAATGGGATATGTTTCATTCAAGCAAACTTTCCAAGAAATTCATCGGCCAGTTGGATGAACAGAATCAGGCTTCAGTTTCTTAATATTCTTTCGAGAATAAAACAGATAGCTTGTCTATCTAGGCAGCACTGTATTTAACTACAGGTGGCAGCACAGATGAGGATGTCGAAACCAGGATTAGAAAGAGAGCAAGACAGGCGTTCATTAGCCTGAAACCAGTGTGGAGATCTACTCCACTGCACTCAGCATGTGGAACAGGATCCGGATTTTCAACACCAATGCCAGTCAAGTCAGTGCTCCTGTATGGTTCAGAGACTTGGCGCATTACGAAAGGGATTTTCAATAAACTACAGACATTCATCAACAACTGCCTACGCTCACTCCATATTGAAGATCAGATGAGATGGCCAGAAAGAATAAGCAACAAGGAGCTCTGGGAACGAACCAACCAAGAACCTATCACCCAACAAATATGCAGTGGAAGAAAGTGGAGATGGATTGGGCATGCACTGAGAAGGCTGACTGAGGACATCACGCCTTAGGCCAGACACTCGAGTGGAATCCCCATGGGAAGCGACGAGTTGGACGTCAGAGGTGAGGGTGACATGGAGGAGATCGTGCGAGGAGGAAATGAGAGGTTGTGGGCTGTGGTGTAGCCAGGTTGAAAAGATTTCAGAGAGCAGGGTAGAATGGAGACGTGCTAGTGAAGCCGTATGTTCCATTAGGAACTCAAGGGACTAATAATAATAATACTGGTAGATGACTGCTATTCACTAATAAATTTAACCCAGTTGTTACACCAAATCATGATTTACATCTCAATCGAAAACTTACAGATAACAAGTAGGGATCTATCTGTTCAATCTCAAGGATGCTGTCAGAAAAGCAATTACTGACAAGCATGATTGAAATCTATCATGAACGAGTGGCAGTATCTATCATTCAGGTCAAGAAGATAAAATCAACGGAGATGATTTCTAACTACTGAATCCATTCAAGGTTAATTATCTTAAAGTCAACTGATATTTTACTCACTTTCATACTTACGGCCATCATATTCATCCTTCCATGACAATTTTACATTACTGAAGTCTGTTGTATCTCTGAATCCGCAGCATTTCAGCTGTTTGAATACAAAGGAAGAATAGGAGAAAGAGAAGAAATCGATGTTTACATATCTGCTAATAGACAACAAGCAAAAACATAGATGTATTCACGACAGAGTACTGTTTATCTAGAGAAGAGTGTTCACGAAGAATATGAACACATCTCGTCGTGTGTCCTCTCTCACTACTCAATGATTTCACAAATCGCACTAATCATACCCTAGATTAAGTGGTCAGTTGATGAATTCCTTTGGATTTCGGTCCATTCACATTCACCAGTAGTACAGATTCTGCTCATTTATGCTTCCTGATAAACATTTTGTATATGAGTCAACGTTTCGTTTCTTCGTTAAATATACGCATTTGGTGATCAGTTGCTCCGTCTTTTGATACCTGTTCCATTGGGACTTCCATCAAGTTGTTGGTTATCTAGCATGGGTATAACTCTGTCATTTCATTGATAAGTTCGTTCAGCCAATCACTCAGTCACCATTCTTCGATATATTATTCAACATGGTTTGGTGTCATTGTCGACATAGGACTCTGAAGTGTTGTTACAAGTGGGTTATTTAGGAGACGACAAGTTGTAGTTGGACAGTTAGTTTTGCAGGTTGGCCTATATGTGATAAACTGATGCTTGTATTCCAAATGAAAAACTAGATGACACCTTTATTTGAAGCAGTCTTTAGGTCTCAGTCAAGCTAACATCAACGTCTTGTAATGACCAAGAGTCATAGACACAATATGAAACATAAAGTGATCAGTGAAGAGTACCCAATACCATATTATCCAAATCGAATCGATCATTTTGTACAGTGGTCACCAAGACATGAAAGAAAACGTTAAGCGTGTCGGTTATTTGCAGTGAACCTTTCCAGAACCAAAATATTGTTAGGTTTCAAACAACAATAACAACACACGTCCTTAAAGTATCTAGATATTATCTCAGTGATCTGATGTGGTGTTGGTGGGTGTCTTCAATCTTTCAAAGTCTTTCTCAGTGTGTAGGCATCCACCAGAGGACTACCGTTATTTTGAGTCAACCTTGCGCTGAATAACCGTTATCTCTTCATATCCTGCAATCCAGCCAGATTCACTCAGATAAACTATGAACCTTTTCTCCAAAATCATCTTCAACTGTTTGCTGATAAACACATTCTCATTCTTAGTTGTATTGTGTTCTCCATTACATTTTCATTCAGAACAATTTTATTTGTCTAAGCGTGTCCTTGCAATCACACTTTGAATTGAGTACTTACGAGTAGGTGTTGGTACTGGCCAGAGTGGTACTCATTTGTGTTGACTGAAGCAAACTGCTTGTGTATTAGTTGATGTTGAGACTATCATACCGATGCACATTCATGGCTGCAATTAACCTGTGGTCAGTGGATGAATCATGTGACATTAGTAATTGAGTGAACGCTGAAAATGCTTGTTGTATGTATACAAATGGACTGTTCATTTAGAATGTGGCAGCACAAATAATAGGTGTCCTTAGCACAAAGCAATGAAGTATCATGGATTTCAAATATTAAACAAATACTAGAATAGGATTGCCAGGTTGTTCCAGGACACTTCGATAAATTATTCACTTAATTGACATGAAGCTGTGTACAGCATCTGGTCAGTGAAGATTGTGTGTAGTAGCAGAGTGTTGACTTGATGGAGAATATACAGTTAGTATCACGTTTAATGATGAAATGTTGGAGCATACTCCTATGAAATGAATTCTTCCTCAACATCCATTCGGTCAATAATTCAAATCGATGAATACAGAAAGGTATTTGAGTGAACTTCCCCCTGAACTCGTCACTTCAATGTTCACACTTTATTGAATGATTCTTTCCATCTGCAGAGCATCTTTGGAAAATCGTTAACTGAGAAGTACCATCCCATTCTGTTATGTAGCGTATAATCCTCTATTTTAGGTCTTTTGAACCGAATCGATCAGGCATTATCAAGAGATTAGCTACTCTGCAACCGGTTACATGTGGCTGATGACTTAATTCTGATACTTATGATAAACACTGGCTAGAGGTGGGATGTGTGAAGTGCGTTCATCTTATTCGGGATAGGTGTGTCCGCCTCTCAGTAAGTAATAGTGGTCCCAATGAGACTTCTGTCATTCAACCAACACTTCCAATGACTGAATGTTGCTCAATAGGCTATTGAGTCAAGTTAAGCACCATTTGTGCAATCATCATTGTTTATTATCTTATGGCCTTGAATGGGTGTGGGCAATGGACAAAGGTTTCGGTCTCTGGTAGCACTATAACACCAAGATGAAGATACTTGCAGCCTATAAGTATCAAATGAAACGAAAAGTGTTTCTGAACTTCTCTCTTGTCTACTACTATTTTTTTCATCACTTCCAACTAGCGCTCATAATGTTCACACAGGCTGCCTCACATTTCTAACAGTTAATCATGCATGCATGAGCAGGTGACTGAATGTATTTGAATGATTAGACGTGAGAAAAATACAAAGTTTCGCAGTTAGTAATCGTCTCATTGTCGTCGATAGAGAAATCCACTTACCTCGATCATCACAACAGCAGAAAATAGACCTGGTCCATCAAGATTAGTCATTGATTCATAGGCATATATTTGCTTCTCCAACAAACTTTCCATCATCTCACGTATCTACATTTACACCGACGAAAATTTTCATGTGTGTGATGGAAAATTGAAGAAAATAAATTCACAAAAATTGAAGGAATAACTGAAAATGTTGAATCTATTTTCAAAGTAGCTTCTTAATCTGTATAATATTTGAAACAAGTTAGAAATTTGAAAAGCCAAGGAGGAAGGAATATTCTACAACCAAATATCATGAAATCACTGAGTTTTTCAAAAGTCAACTAGGAACATTGCGGTTGATCAATCATGTCAAAGCTGACAACAGTGACCACTCGTAGAGAATCGTTACACTCTCTATCCATGAAATCTTCTTAAGATGTGGCTAGTGCGAAGTGTAAAATACTCATCACACGACTAATATAATCTGTTTTGCATCAGTAATGTTATGCTGACCACTTCAGTGAAGCTAATGTGCATGAAATCACGTGGCCTCTCGATGAGTTGGTAAAATAATATCACATCATTGTCTTCTTCATGTTGAGTCGCACTCACATTGGCGCATTTCTTAACAGTGTGTGTGTGTGTGTGTGTGTGTGCATTTATATGTAAGTCTGTAGGTTTTGCCACACACCTTGTTGACTCAGTTCTAATAACAAATGTGACAGCAGATTTTGTCATGCATATCTGGTGGCTGTTTATTTCAAGAAAGAGGATTAATACTGAATGACTACACTCAGTCAGATGATTGTATGTTTGGTGGATTGATTTTCATTCATGCAGACTTTAAGAAAGGTCACTGTGTGATTAATGAGTGTGCAAGGCGATAAAGCAATCACAGAAGGTTGAGTTTCACCTCCCAGTAGACAGTTTATTAGAATCGAAAACAATTCAGCATTTTCAGTATCACATGTCTCACGTGACTAGTACCCTGGTCTTTCTTTACTAAGCTTTAAAGTTCCTGGAGATAATATGAAAAATTCACGAGCTTTCATCAAACCTAATAACTAAGTGAATTTCTGAGAGTCACTGTTTGAATCAATTCACTTCTTCCTCATGCAGATGATGGCACACTTGGTTGAAATGTGATACTTGGTAATCAAGTATGAACACCTTAGTTTTCTAATGGATTGCTTTCAAATCAGCAAAATCGTGAGTCGACATCGTTCTACCATATTTCAACAGGAGGTGAGCTTTACTTCTGGAATTATCAACCTCATTTGTGGCACATGGATTCTAACAACTGAGGTTTCTTCACTGAATTCCTTGAATCCCAGCACTTACGAGAGACTTCAGCTCAAACCATGGAAATAACAGTTCAGTGGTAAAACTACTGCACAATCACAGGTAAGAATACCCATCAGTCATCAGTTGTAGGTATCCAAATACTCATGTCTCTACTCACTCATATGGTTAAGTTGTTTAGATAACTTCTTGGTACACTTCTCTACAATAAGTTCACATCTTGTCGCAACCAAGTAAAACGCCTAAACTGATGTGAACAATCTGCATGAAATACTTTCTCGTGAATATCGATTTGATCGGTATACATAGAGGTAATATCTAAAGCATAACATTCTTGTGGTTTAGTCGTTCTCTTGATTGGGAAGGTTACAACTTCCAGTTTGTACAGTGAAGAGAAAGCCAACAATGTTAAAACCCTAAACACTCAGACAATGAAGGTTGTGACATGAGAGAAGTTCATGTTGTTGAAACATACTAACTAAAGATATATCTGCTTATAAGCCTGTAAAGTGGATACACTGCCTACAAATTTATAACTGCAATAGACAATCGGTCAGCAAGTCATCACTATGACTCCTTTGAGAACAGCAATCTTGAACAAAGCAGTTTGGAATTTAAAGTTGTTGTGATTTACAGCTGAGAATGAGAACGATGATAATCTGGTTTTCTCTAAGGTGTAATATTTTCTCGTGGATATTTCATCACTAACCTTCATAACACTATCAACACTAGCTTCATACAGAAGTGAAATATATTCAAGTGTTACTCGAATATAAAGACAGTATTTTCGAGAACCCTGAATGCTGTCCACCTGTCAGAATAGACTCAAATTTATATCACACCTTGACTTCTTAAATTTTAAATTTCACTAGATCATGCTGTAGAAGAATTTCTCCTAGAGTAGAACTGTGTGTGATATTTGCTGCGAACACTGCTTGACCACTGGTTTGTTTGGTTAACTTCGTCTTGTGTTAATGGGCTACTATTTTCTTGCTGAGTAACTATAACATTGGTCTATATCTATACGTCTCTTGATAGACTTTTCGTTTGAATGTGAGGTTTCTACAGATTGTCTTGCATCTTTTTAACTACGCTTTGTAAGAAAGCTGCATTCCCGGAGTCAAGTTTGCTATTACAATTGTGTAAGCGCACTGAACCTGAGGACGATGCGTCACTTCGCTCTCCTGCCAGTTGGCCTTCATGAATTATTTGAGAAATCTGATGGCAGGCCTGATCACAGCAGTCCCAGACAGAACTTATTTTTGATATTTTCGAATGCATTCTCCGTTTCATTCTTCTCACGTAACATGTCAAAGTCGCCTCAGTCAATGAATGTTCACAACCGTTTCAATCGACTTGCCTGTCTTGCAGAGTACCCTTCACTTGGCTTCAACATTGCTCATATGGTGTTTCCACCGAACACGAACAATACTACGAAGACACCTGTGATAAAAAACCTGTAATCGCTTCATGTCTTCAAATTCAGCAGCCATGTCTCAAAGCCGTATAACAGGACAGAACAAACTGCAGCGCAGTACACTTTCCTTCGACATGTAGTTGTATATCTCACCAGTTGGCGCCACATGTGAAGCAAGTTGACAGATGCCAAACTGGTCTTTTGTATCCGAGATGAGATTTCGTCAGCAACCAGCCGTTCAGCAGGCTGATGCTACTCCCCAACTGAGTGAAGTGGTTGATACATTCCATCACTTCACTTCCATCATTAAACTGGAAGTACTTGCAGCAGACAAGTCCTGAAGCATCATTTTACATTTCACAGGTGCAAACCCATGCTGCCCAAACATATTCAGATTTATACTCATTGTGTTTGGAAGACTGTGAATTTTGTCAGCGTCTTCACCAAACAGGGCAATATCGTCTGTATATTCCAAGCAGACCGCATATTGTTCAGGTAGTAAGTCATTCCCTGTAGAATCGGAGGTACCTAAGGTCATATCCATTAATACGCCAGTGGCGAAGCTAAATGCGATCGGTGACAGTGGGCACACCTGGCGAATACCACCAGTTGTCGTCAAGTATGAAGGCAACTCTCCATTAGCCTTGACATGGCTGCTTGGGATGGAGTGGAGAGATTTCAGTAGCCTTATACACTTACTGAGTACTTCCTTCACAGTCAGACACTGACACATTACCTGACGGTCGACAGAGTCAGATGCCGCCATCAGGTTGAGAAATATGGCAAGTGTCAGTCGTTGACCGGTGAGTATAAGTGTTTGAAAGAACTTGTCGGAAGGTGAAAATATGACCGATGCAACCTCGTCCAGCTCTGTCTGAAACCTGCCTACTATTTCTCTCCAGTTTGCTGTTCTTTAGTCTTCCGTAGGCATCAGATACTCATGGAACCTAGGATCTGAAACACAATATTAGTCAAACAGATCCACCTGTGATTGTCACGGGAACATTTCTCTCCTCTTCTGTAGACTGGGATGACCATTGGAGCACACCACTCTGACGGCACTACCTCTGATTCACATGCACTAGGCAGTACCTCCGTCGCACTAATCATCATTTCCTATCCACATCCCTGAAAACATTAGGTGGCAAACTGTCAGGTCCTGCTGCTTCCCATCCTTTCAGGTCCAATAAAGCCTTCTTAACTTCAAGGAGTGTTGAATGACGACATCTAATTTCCATTCAGGTTCAGGCTGAATGTTGGACAACTGGTGGGTTGATGAGGGCCGGTTGAATTGTGCTTCATAATGTTGTGCCCAACGTTCTAGCCGCCTCTTCTAGGAGGTTATTAGCGTCATACACTTTCTGGCAACGGTTTCACATACCATTGACTACTTCTTGCTGATATCCTCAATAAGCCTAAATGCATGTTGAGTGTTACCAACACTAACATCTCCTCCATCTCTCCCGCTCTCGCCAACTACCAATGCTCATGACTGACACCAAGACTCTTGGTTAATTCACCTTTGAGTTGCTCTCGCTCTTCATCATGGTCAGAGCCAGCTAACTGGGATCAGTCTTCTCGTGTCAATCAGCACAAATCAGCACGTGATGGGAGTCCAAATCGGTACTCGAGAAAGAGTAGTAATCATTCACCGATCCTCTCCAGGATGGCTTCTAGCGATGTGATATGTCTGTGTACATCGTTGGTTTGATGTCGATGGATGCCATGTGAGACAATATCTCTTCTTATGCCTAGAGGTAGTCCTTGTCACAAACAGTTGATTTTAAAAAAGAACTGCAACAGATCACCGTTGCCGTTTCATTGACATGGTATTCCGTAATTATTCCCATATTTCTTCCAATTGATTCAGTTTCCCTACTTGGCATTGAAGTTACTTGCCATTATAACTACAACTGAACATTTCGATCTCTGTAGAAAAGTTGACAGCTTCCAATACAATTCATCCTTTGTGTCATCCGAACTGTGGTCGGTATGTGCGTAGGCGAGGATTAAGAATAAGCATCTAACGGTCTGTTGGTCTGTACTGTTCCTACAGTCCATTAGAACGAACAGCACATGGATGGTTGTTAACTGGTATCCAGTCGAGAAGTGCATCTTGTGATCCTCAGCCCAATGCTAAGCCAACTCCAACAAGCACACGAGAGTTATACGATTGGGTCTCCGGTTGCTCGTTAGGTGAAATTTGCAGAATAATTACTATGGTCAGGTGGGGGCTGAATTTATGAACCTTACTCGGGATTTGTATGTGTCTCAAAGACGCAACAAACATATATGGCCAGAGATTCCAGCGTTTTGGCGATCAGTGTTTGGTGTAGAGTGAGTGGCATAGAGTGAGTTCGGACGTTAGCGGTTCTTGCATGAAATCGATAGTGGATATTAGGAACTTGAGATGATGTTTCGATGACTTTGATCGTTAGCAATGCTTGCAGAATTAGAGTTTATGTAAATTGTTTGAGACATAGCAATGGTATCAGTGCGTGAGGCGAAGGAGGAGACACAGTTTAGCAGGATATGTTATGTGTGATTGGATCTTGAATACTAGTGCAAGTGTGTGGGCGGTCGACACTTTCCGGCTGCCTACACCGTGGAAGGTTAGTCCTTCTGAAGGTATCTGAAAGAGAGCAAAAAGCTTGTGAGACTGCTGATCCCATAAACATGTGCTTGAGGCCTGTCACATATAGTGGGTTGTTGTATTGAGGTTTGGTGTTTGTAACGCGGAAAGAGAAAACGCATACCGTCCCCACCAGGAGAACATGAAGTGGAGAGGAGTGTGCAATTTTCGGGGCCGACCTATTCCAACCACCATTTTCTATTGGGAATGCAGCATCAGAGTGGAACTGCCTGTCATTCAATGGAAACAATTCAATCTCGTCGCATTCCATCCAACAGCAATACGACTTCAACCTCAGAACCCCATCATACTTTAGTCATTAAGAGTGTATCTGCAACTCCTTTTCGTCTTGCCATCATCCAATAGACACCTTCTGGCATGGTAGGACCTTGAGAGAACAAGCGATCAAGCAAGTGCTGCTCGACGAGTGATTGCGATATGCAAGATCCACCACCAATTCTAGGAAGTAGCCATCAGTCGGGCCAGAAACATGATACATGAGTAGTTTCTAGAAGTCGGTACCACCCAACTCAATTGAGCGACACTTTATCCCTAAACTTCCCCTACATAGTCTCATTTTGTACCGACCAACTCAACTGAACTGGTACAGACAGCTTTATTCCTATCACATCGCCAACTGATATCATCCGATGAATTATTCATTGAATCTTCATTTCTTTTCATCTTACTTCTATGCTTTCTATGCTTGTTTCACTGTTTACGAAGAAGGAGACGTCACTGGGAAAGAATCGAACTCACCCCACTCGGATTACTGAACAATAAGCCCAACGTGGCTATGTGACTTATTATGCAAGCTGTCACTGCGATTTCATACTGAAAGGGAAGAGAACAATACATATATCATTGAACAATTTTATGTCAGAATTCCCTTGTAAAGTTGAAAGTACTCTCATGATAACTACAGAGTACATTATGTGAATACATCACTGGAGTTAGTAATTAATTGTCAGCACTTAAACCATTTCTACTGTTCACGAAAAATCTACATTATTCTTTGTACTGATCACTCACATGATACCATGCAAACTTGAACTTTATTATTATCCCCCCCCCTTACTTTTCTATGCCTGTTCATCACTCAACTGACACTCTCAGTATATACTCAACTTGTCACCCACCGTGACTGACATATATATACTGGGTGATGATTTGAGGTGAAACGGAAATTGGGACGGCAGTCAGGTTCGAATCAGCTACCAGTGGGTTTGCAACCCGATGACCAACCAACTGAGCTAATGGTTCCGATGCTGACCAGAATTTTATTTCACCTTGAATCATCACCCAGTCTGCCAAATCATGACTATCTCAGACAGTCAAAATGATAAGCAGTATGATGCTCCACCTTTCCAATTTAGTTATATTTGGATTTGTATGAAACGTCTTGACTAGGCAGCCAGTGTGAGTACGACTAAACGATAGCAACACGTCATGAATTCACTCAGTGGTCGGGAAAATACTTGGTGATTGAAGTGAAATAAGAATCCGGTCAGCAGTCGGACCTCATAGCTCAGTTGGTAGGGCATCGTGTAGGAAACCCACTGGTAGCTGGCTCGAACCCGACTGCACTTCAGATTTCCATTTCACTTTCAATCATCATCCAGTGTAAATACTAGTCTGTCAAAGCATGGCTATTTCGGATAGTCAACTTGATATCTACACATGTCAAACTATCACGCAGAACTTTCAACAATCGATTGTAATTGTAATGGCATATACATTCTAAAATGGATTCACCGTAAATTTGGTTATTACTGTGTTAATGAATGCGGTTTTATAAGTATAGAAGCTGACACGAAATTAGTGGAAAGGATATTCTTCGTTCATATTTGAGTTTTATAGTGATAATAAGTGAAGTTGAGGTTCTGGATTCGCATTCATTGTGTGAGTGGGATTCACCTGACTGTATACCTATTCCACCTAATCAATAGACGCATTTCCTTCAACTTGACACAACAACGATGCGTCTGACTGACATCAAATTAGCAAACTGTTTGCAGTGACAATATCAGTTGTGGAAGAGTCTAACATTTCTTATCCATTAGGTGATGGCAGTTTCTGATCAAGTATGCCTCAGTGGATGATTTGAGGAATCTGCTTCGGATACTTTACATTCACTCATTTTATCACAGAAAATGAACAATCACTAATCGCTTCTCTGCAAACAACTGCAAACTTACTATTAGAAAAAATGTGCTGCTTCGATTGAGGGCGACAAGTACTCCGAAAGCATAGTTGCACATAAACAGGATGGCTATTCCCATCAGTGGTAAGGTGACTGGTCCTTAACAAACAAAGAGAGGAGATAAGATGGTATGCAATTAATGGTAGTATACAACGTGAAAGGTGTATTTCAAATTATCAGAAGTTTAGTCTGTGAATATATATGTATGCCTGTATGTGTGAGGACTGAAGTTGATCAGTGGGTGTTATCAAGCATTGTTTCGAAGTCTGAAGCCTCCAGCTTATCGACCGACCAATGTGGTGATGATATTGTGAGACTTAACTACTCATCGATATCAAACGCTACTAATAGTACACATAGTGTGAACTCGACTACTGGGTGAATTGTCAGTTATCAACTCATTCTACACCAGTTCCCAAGACAGATCTTCTCTTCTCAATGGTAGGCGAGTGAATTATATTTGACTAGACTGTTTGTGTGTGACCTTCTTTGGTGTCTGATTTTAAAACATAAGACGTATAGTTGAACAGGAAAAAGAAGTTGTGTTGTGACATTCTGATTCCCACTTACAGAATTGAAGTCATCAGACTGGAAAGTGTGGAAGGATTTCAGAGATTCAGAAGTTAGTCCAACTGTCCACACAAGGTGGCAAATGGAAATGCAATGGAAAGAATCATAGTTTAGGCAGTGGTATTCTGTTGGGTAAGTGTACCTCATCATCATCATCATCATCATCATCATCATCATCATCATCATCATCATCATCATCATCATCATCATCATCATCATCATCATCATCATCATCATCATCATCATCATCATCATCATCATCATCATCATCATCATCATCATCATCATCATCATCATCATCATCATCATCATCATCATCATCATCATCATCATCATCATCATCATCATCATCATCATCATCATCATCATCATCATCATCATCATCATCATCATCATCATCATCATCATCATCATCATCATCATCATCATCATCATCATCATCATCATCATCATCATCATCATCATCATCATCATCATCATCATCATCATCATCATCATCATCATCATCATCATCATCATCATCATCATCATCATCATCATCATCATCATCATCATCATCATCATCATCATCATCATCATCATCATCATCATCATCAAGGTTAACCACAACAGATGTTAATATTTACAAGATGAGGATGAAGGGCAGTGGATAAGGCTGCATGATCGATATGTATACATAACTTTGTAAATCTTCATAATTTTTTTCCAGTACAACTTCTACTTGAAGACGATCTTGAGAACTGTGTCGACTAAAGCCAGATATTTCTAATTAATGAGTAGTATGAGAATACGAGAGTGACCGAAACTTTATTTCATAGTGGACTGGGGTCATCTCAGCTTTAATATTTTGTCTTGACGGTTTGATCACTAGGCTTGGTGTCACCTTCTGCACTAACCCATCAAAGAAGTCTGCTTTATAATTGCTGGTAGAATGATGGCTGATCATTCGGTTACAATGCTTCGACTTGTGGATAGAAAGTACTTACTTTGAGCAGTAATAAGGCCTTCGTCTCAGTTGAAACTCTGTACTGGTGACAGTATCATTCAGAATCGCATAATATAGAAGTGGTTCTCATATTTCATAACACTGTTCTCAGCGAACTATCTGTGAGGTCGCAATCAACAAGCATCTTCCACATTGTGATCTATCATCTACTGGTATGGCTTATCCTCATGCATATTTACTCCTCAAGTGTAAATTTAAACACTTCAGTTATTGTGTGAAATCGAAGCAGAATTCCATAAAATAATTCAGTTGAGCATTTCATTCAATGATAATCTGAAGATGCATATCGACAACTTACCTTGACTGCTGGGTAACAGATAAAGGTAAGAACAACTTCATTTCATTCAACATTTTTGATATAGTACAGAACTGTCAATGTGTAATATTCAAATGTAGTAGTTATATTGTCTTAATAATGTTAGTAGTATCAGCAATAAGAAAGGACCGACCATCTGTTGTTAGATTACCGTTAGTGTGTTATTGTTGTAAGGAGGCAGGTGAACGAGTAAGCATGTGTTATTCTGGTGTAAGAAGTTTGTTCAGTTTGCACGACAGCCTACAGCTCAGGCAACCATCCCACGAATAACCAAATGATATGTTGATGAGCAGTAGACAGTCTATTTCCGGTGACTATTAACTGGTCCCTTAATTTTATCACTAACTTGCAAACAGATAGGTTCCAAAAATTATAGATTTGAGCTAGAGTACATCATGAGATTTGAAGATTTATCTCAGTGATAACTCAGTAAATTTCGAAAGAACTTTAGGTATCCTCCACTGCTATTACCGTCGAAAAGGTTGGTGCACTGTTTCCCAGTAAATCTCTTGTGTCAGTTATGGCAATGGAAACTGACATATTGAGTGATAGTCATTGAATATGAAAGGTGAAAGAAGGGTGAATTAGGATACTAAACCCTGGACTACACAGCGTTTCCAGCGTTTCTTATGAGCAGCCGTCTATTCTTATCTATTAGGTGAACAATGTTTATCAAACCACATGATAATGATGACATACAATGAGAGTTGTAATTAAACTGATGAACTGATACACAGTGTGTGGCTGTAAATCGTGCTTTATAGGAAGTATCCAGTGTTCCAAAAACCATATCAGATATGATAATTTTAATTGGACGAAGAAATACACAATGCAAAATGAGAGTACGTGAATTTCATTCAAAGAAATGATTATGCCAACCAACTAGAAGAGAAGAAAAGCTTTCAAAGATGATCAACATAGTGGGAGAGTTGGGGAAATAAACAAATTGGCCACTTCTAGAAACCTTACAAATTGTATATCTTTCTTGAGTTGGCGATAGGAGGGCTGTTGATAATAACCTTCAGAGCTACTCATTCAAAGCATGAAGTTTGAAGAAGATCACAAGACCAAAAGCATAAGACTCATATGAGAATCTCCACATATTACTTCAAATATAATTTATCCATCTCACATAACACGTAGGCTTCGTCAGCCAAGATACTGAGTGTTTCCATGGCATGATAACTACTTCCCCGAACGAATCACATACGAATACGGATGAAATCATGTCCCCCTCAACCAGGAGAGTACAATGGTGGATTATTTATCAACATTTCGTAATTTGGATTGCGATTGTTTGAGCAGTTGGCAATGAGTGATGTTCTAGAAGCGTAGCATTGAAGCTGAAAGCTCGAGACTGTAATAACTCAACTGTGATTACAGTGAGGTTCGAAGTATTTATCAAGTGAGATGGATTGAGAGACATCTTGACTGAACCAATAACTTGATGAAGTATTTTCAAGCTCATCGGGTGGATTACATCTTTTCATCTTTACAAAGATCAACTAGTAAATTCATACAACGCTATAGAAGATCTCAAAGACAATGTAGTCAAATAATGTCTCCTCTGACCAGGAAAAACTTAAACTTAAACAACTTCACCCACTTCTCATGCTTCACTCCACTTATCTACTAATCAAATTTGTGCATACTTTATTTGACCATTTACTTCGTCCTTCACTGTTACACAACGTTTGTTTTTCCCAGTCTTGACCCACTTTGATCAATGCAGTCTACGTTCTCATGCTAATTTCTTGGTTTTTATCATCATCACCATCCATATTAAGACTACAAAAGTCAACGATGTAAACAATATGATTTTTGAGGTAGTATTTATTCATGAGGGAATGACAACAGTTGTGGAACTACAGAAAATCAGATGGGACACCAGACGGCTGTTTGGTTGTAGTATGCGACCCCTCAGTGGTACGTGCACATCTACATCAAGATATCAATTTTATTATTCCACTGATTATCAACAACACTATTTTAAACCTGTTATCACATTCACTGATAAATCAACATAATTATTTTAGGTTTCATATATATTTAGCCATTTATATTAGAAGACGTAGGTTATCTGAAAAATGTGATGTATTAGCTCTATACATTTCGAACAACCTCATCACATACTTACTTGTTAAGGCGTTATATATGAAAACTGGGATTGAGGGAAGGACAAATATGACATAAAGGAATTCAATAAGAAGGAAGATAATGGGAAGCTAGTGCCTCAAACTGCCTCAAAGTATACGCCCCTGACAGTTTCTATACAAAATTGTAAAAACTGTTTTAATATCAATCCTGTGACTCTTATCAATGATATGTTTCGCAATGGATGAACATGGTTGGCTGCCACCTGCGCTTATCAATGTTTGTGAATCCATCTACTTTTGTAGCCATTTTGGAACATGTTCCCCTACCCTCAAGTGCATCTCACGATTATTTCCCCCTGTGTATGTTTGTCCACACACACAAACACATATGTATATTTATGAACGCAGTGGGATGTGACGCAATCGTTTATACAGCGCTGAGGTGTATGTTGCAACAGGTGTTTGGTCGTCTCAATTACGACAAGCTTAGCTGCATAGTACCTTTTGCTAACAGCAGACCTTAACCTCCGTTTTAATATTATGCTATTAGATTCTCCTCTGTATGGTAACGCTATGTAAACGCATTTCTTCGAAACACAGTACAGATTAGGTTTCAGTCTTGGCTGAGTTTTGCAGCGGTTTATGAACTTCAATGAATATCCATTTTCCAATAATGTTTCCGTTAGTATTTTGATATCATCATCCATTGAGTCTTCAGTACAAATAGGCTGGATCCCTTTAAATAGGCAAGTTAACAAACCTCGCTTGTATTGGGTTGGACGGAAGCTATGGAAACCTAAGTACTGACCTGTCTAAGTGGGTTTCCTGTGAATCGATCGTTTCATTGAACAATCATTTCCACGACCTAGGAGTAAATCCAACAACGGCAGACCGTTTTCTTTCTCTTCTTCACACGTTAGGCTTATGTTGTTTTGTACGATGTTAAGTCTTTCTAACCGACATGTCGCACCTTCATGCTTGTCGCATATCACGACTACATCATCGACATACCTCTCATAGAGAGTAACTTTACTGATGAGATCGCCGGTCAAGCCTTCAATGTGTGACATGTAAATATCAGCTAGCAATGGTCCTAAGGGACTTCCAATGGCCACACCATCTACTTGTCGAAAATGTTCTCCTTCAAATGTGAAATGAACTTTATCAGTACATAATAATAACAGCTCTCTGAAACACGTTGAGGGAATAGGGAAAGAAGGATTACTGGGAAATATATGGTCACAAAGAATGTCAATAGTTTTAATGAGAGGTACATTAATAAATAAGGAGTTGACATCTCATTCTTAAAACTCAGGTTTCACAAATCAAACCTCCTTAAACTATATTGGCAGATGAATTTTTATGTATATACACAATCTGTGTTTAGGAAAATATATACGGGTGACTTTAAAGCCCACCGTAGCAAAAAGTCCCGAGAACCGGTCAAACTTCCTTATCATATGAAATTCTACATGTTCAGCTGAAATCGAGAAGTCCAATCGACCACTGAAGTGCCCTTTAAAGTCACTCAAATATACGGGAATTGTAGAAAGACATTAGACGGCTAATAAAACAGTCAAAGAATAAGGACAAAGATAGACAAGTGGAGTGGCTATAAAGGCCACGCTAGCCACTGCTGAAATAGCCAATCAGCTGTCGTTATTTCGGCTGGTAAGGCAGTTTAAAATGATACAATAAATATCTTTCTTGAATTGACCGGAATCAAATGAACTGTAGCTATTTTTCCAACTATACACCAGAATTTTTCTAACCCAACTAATACTCAGAACTAAGTTTTTGAGTGGTTTTACAATGTATCTAGATTGTGTTCCATAAATTGTCCTTGAATTTGCATGCTTACTCTTCTTAGACTGGCTAAAGGAAAAATAATCTGTCTTCCCGTTATTGTGAACTGTATGGCTAGCTTTATGAGTGCACTCCCTCATATATCGTTTTTGTCGTTAGAAGAAACAATGGATTAGCGACGCTGGAATCATTAAGAATCTTAGAAAACTTATTGTTATAATCCATTAAATAAGTTAGATATGTTAAGAAAAAAAATATTAATATCAGTTTCCTGCAGGTATCCAAGTTAGACTTTATTTTCATTTAAAAATTACTATCCACATTGATTCAATAACCCACACTTCAGTAATATATACAATATTTATTCAAAAGTACAAGACTTTGTGCGCAACAAACAAAAACTGATACGGTGTAGAATATTGGGCAGAAATAAAGAAAATGTTACTGAAGATAGAGATAAGGGAAGAACCCAAGATTTTACTTCCCTGTTTGTCCTTGTCTGTGTTGAAGCCATGAAGCTTATGAATTCACTTACTGGATAACAGTTATCAGGATTATTCTATTAGTGATGGATAGTGGCTAGCAGTGGAATCTACGACGTACACTTCGTCCCGTCTGGGACTCATCAATTGAATGTACCTGCTCGTTAGCGAGTGGCGTTGTCCCCCGTAGAACTCGAACCAAGGACAGGTCGCTTCAAACGCCGGGTTACGATAACCACTTCTTGTGCAACAGGTATAGTTTATATGTTGCTAGTATTATCCCGTCGCTGATTGGATCAAACTGGCTAGTTTCCATTGACATGCGAGATCCTGTGCGGATGGAAAGCGGCTATTAGTGGAATCCAGGATGCATGTTTAGTCTTATTTGGGACTGACTCGCCAACTGCGTGTATCTGCCACTTAGTGAGTGATGTTTTTCTCACTAAAACTCGAACCCATTATTCAGACACTGCTAGAGTTCGATGTTTCATGATGATATCAGGGAATAAGAGCAATAATACGTTAAACAGTGGTCAGGTAGCTGGATTACACAAGTATAGAGTAGAACGAATGACATATTTGTCTTTCAAAAGGCACTTCTAAAGATGAAGGGAACCCAATAATCTTGTAAAGGTAGAGAATGAGCACCATTTCGTGACAGCTGATTGCCGACTGACTAAGTGGAATTTGTAGCAGCACTAAATAAGGAGTTGATGTGAAATGAATACAACTTTTTATCATTGATATTAATATCACTAACATAATCAGCAAGTTCAAAAGTATCTTTGAAAGAAAACTTACATAATTCATTTGAATAGGAAATAAGTCTTTAGCTTACAATTTCGCCACTTTATGTGTAGATGAACGGAACATGGAGAGTATAGGACGTAAAGGATTATCTGGTTTATGAATTTTAGGCAATCCATATCGATTAGGTAGCTCAGACCTCATTGGTTTGAGGGAAGCGAATTCTTCCTTGCTTATAACATTGATATTCAAAAGTTTTACTAGACTAGATGTTAATTTGCATTCTAATTTTCTACGGTCGTCTGATGAAATATCAGCCATAAATTTACTTCCAACGATAAGGATGGACAACATCTTGCCTATCACAACAACACCTAACCGTTTATCGGGTTTAAGAATGATTATATAAGATCTATTTCGAAATCCTTTTAGGGCTTTGAAATGTTGTGAAGTTAAGATAATTCTCTGTCTTGAGCCTAAACAATGGAAGTGATGAACTCTGATTATCCAAGGAGGTTGATCAAATTGTGTTCAGATTGTTTGGAATGTATACCACTAATACATCACCTTTTTCAAATAATCTACGTCCTTTAATTACATTAACCAAATTCCTAAATGGGACTGATTTTTTCAAATTTATATTAAAGTCTGAATATGATGCAATTGAAAGTCACACTGTTTACTCATATGTCTTGTTCCTGTAAAAAAAAGTATACTAATATATGTTGATTATTGTGAATAATGGAAGGACTCACGTGTGAATTCTCGCACTACACGATTTACAGCATCGATTGTTGACGCTTTCTGCAAATCCATCTTTACTTTCAACTTCCTTATTGTCGGCTCTAAAGACTTCGTTGCCAGTTTCGACCAGAATATAACAGCAAAAGATACAAATGCGAATAAGCAGATGAACTGGAAGAGGAGTAAGTGGTGAAGTTGGATTATTATTATTATTATTATTATTATTATTATTATTATTATTACTATTATTATAATTTCTCGCATGTTTGCATTTGTGATTGAGGCGTTAGGCTCTAACGGCTATGATCATACGATTCAAACATGAAGTGAAATGACAGAAAAGTCTACTGAATAATATTTTTCTGATGCATAATGATCTTCTAGTCATTCATTCAAACACTCTACATTTCCTCATTCCGCCTAGTGACAGCAGGTGACAGAACAGTTGAAGTGAATCGGTTATGCGAATGCCTCTGTGATATTGTATGTAACGCGAAATCTGTGCTCAGTACCACTTACAGCTCTCTGCTTCCAGAGTTCTATCTTCATTTCTTCTCACTCCTGTTCGAGATCGAAGACAATAAAGTGGCCAGTCACTGCAGACTATCAAACCGATAAGTCGTTAACTCGAAGAGTATGCATCCCTTATTATTTGAAGTTGTCAACCAATGACTTATTGATCTATATTCAGTCGTTTTGAGGAGTAGCAGATGTTGGAGTCGAGCCACTGTGAGATGAATGTGATTTCAGTGAATTGAAAGCCCTTCCCGTAATGTCGGTCAACGCACTGCAGCAGTCTATTCCATACACATAGTATTCCATAGTAGACAACAGTATGCAATATTTCCTAAGGTTGAGTTAAATGCTTGTTCAGAATAACCAATGTGACATTCAGTAAACTTGACTGAGTTAAGAAACATTCAGTCACGCTTCTAGAACATTGCTGTTTTCTAACTGCTTGAACAACTGCTATCATTATTTTTCCCTTAGGTTCCTAGTGGAACACACAGCTTCAGTCACACGTCTCCATTCCACTCTCTTCTCTGAAATCTTTTCAACCTGGCTCCACAACAGCCCACAAGCTCTCATTTCCTCCTCACATGGTCTCCTCCATGTCACCCTCACCTCGGACACCCAACTCGTCGTTTCCCATCTGGGTTTCACTCGAGGGCCTGAACTGGTGCATGATGTCCCCAGTCGGCCTTCTCAGTGTATGCCCAATCCATCTCCACTTTCTTCCACTGCATATTTGTTAAGCGATAGCTTCTTGGTTAGTTCTTTGCCAGAGTTGCTCGTTGCTAATTTTTTCTGGCCATCTCATCTAATCTTCAATATGCTGTGAGTGTAGGAGGTAGTTGTTGATGAATATCTGTAGTTTGTTGGAAATGCTTTTCGTGATGCGCCAAGTCTCTGAACCATATAGAAGCACTGACTTGACTGGCATTCGTGTTGAAAATCTTGATCTTGTTCACGCTTTGTGCTGAGTGCGGTAGATCTCTACACTGTTTTCAGATTAATGAACGTTTGGCTTTCTCGATCCTGTCTGGCTTTTACGTCCTCGTCTTTGTCTGCACCGCCTGTAGTTGAAATGGTGCTGCCTGGATAGTTGAAAGAGTCAACTTCTTTTAATTTTCTCATATTGAAGGTGATTGGAGCTTGTTGTTGTTGTTGTTGGTGGTGGCATTGGTTGGGTATCTTCATCGCTTCCGTCATCTTTACGTTCATTTGTAGTCCTGTCTTCGCTGCCCTGCCTCCTCTGTCAACTTGTTAGTTTTCGCCTGAAGATATTCACGTTTGTGTGACATCAGACACAAATCATTGGCGAAATTCAAATCTTCTAGGTCGTTTTCCGCTGTGTAACCTATCCCCATCTCCTCACTCCCCACAGTTGTTTGCTGCAGGATTCAGTCGACCACAATCAGAAATATCATGGATGATAATAGGCAGCCTTGTCTTACTCCTGTCTTCACCTCACTTCAAAGGCGTCACTGAGCTTCCCATTGTGATGAATTACTTGGCTGGCATGTGGTGTCTTCATATAGTTGTTGAACGAGGCTGATAAAGGTTTGTGGTATTCCGTAGTATCGTAGAAGTTGCCAAATTACTTATCGGTCGACGCTGTCGAACGCTTTTGCAAAGTCGATTTATTTGAGTTAGAGAGCTGACTGCCATTCTAAGTTCTCTTCTATGTTGATACGTCCTGTGTTGGTTAGTTATAATTCAGTTAAGCTATCTCTACCCACAACCTTATCATGCGGTCCCATATACACTACTTGATATCAGACTAGCCTGATATTTACCCAATAAACACTAGTTAATAATCCATTCATGTGCAACAGCAACCGAAGCTGAAAACATCCTGCTGGTTTGCACAAATTCGCATTTTGAGGTGTATTAGTTTAAGTGCAGTGGTGGTGAGGAAATTTTGAAACGAGCGGTGTTCCAAGCATTTTGACTTGATGTTTTCACAGTTACTCTTTCACCAGCGTATGAAGACTATTGTGGTCTTAACTTGATCAATACTTCTTGATAAGCCGAGAATGCCAAAGAATGGATTGCTGGAGATCAGTAATTTGTTGATGATCAATTTGTGTATCCAATCCAAACATAAATGTGATCATTGGTAGAATGAATTGTTTCGTGGCAAAATTTCTGACGTCAGCACAGAGTGACACACCCTTGACTCACTGAGTAATCAAAAGATTTGTCATGCGTGCAGATACGTACTAGTAGAGAGTGCCAGCAAATGCTGTGTACAAGTTGAATGGATCCTGGATATTGATTCCTCACGCATAACACTGACATAATGATTCAATATCCAGCAAATTAATGCACGCGAAAATATTTACATATAGGTAGAAATTATACACAATATATATCAATGAATTTCTCGTTCCAACAAGATTTTCATGCTAAATCATATCCACACGTCTTCTTGTGAACTTGAAAAGATCAAGAATAACGGCTTTATCAGAATACCATGCCACCATTTCATTTCATCGATTTGTCTTCAGGTGCTTCTATTTTTGATTATCAGCATTGAATAATATTTTCGGTGGAAGTTAATGAGACCTCATTTCACAAGTATAAGCATTAAATGAGTCACCAGAACAGATAGGAATAATTCCAGTACAGTAAGAATTAGTTTGACCGGAGACTACTCAGATAGAATGCCAATCGTAATTATTGGATTGAATGAATATCCCAGAAAACAGCTTTTTAATTCTCTATTCTCAGTCACCATCAAAGTTGAATGATCTACTCTGCGAGGCCGTCACTCATCTTACTGTGACATGCTCAATTGATATTTCAAATGAGAGCAACCAGTTTCATGCTGACTAGTCCCGAATGCTAACAAAACACTAGCGATGTTTTCGCAGTGTAGAAGGAAAGCTAGAATACTCATTATCGTGGTATACTATTGATGGGTGTTAGTTACTCGGAAGCACTCAGAATTAAGCCGATTATTACCTGTGTTTTATGCTTATTAGCACACGTCAGTAAGATGTATCTGCAGCCTCACTAGAAATGATGTCCTAATGGGACATGTAACACTGTGTGAAGCGAGTTTCGATTTCGGAAGAGTAATAACCCCATCGGGAATGTAGATACGCTCTGAAGACAAGTCCCTAAAAGCATATAACCTAGGTCTGCGATGGTCTGCCATCGATTGCCTTTAGCTAAATTTCACTGTGCTTCCCTCTTGCTAGGCAACAGATATCAGATGGTAGGAATAGCTTCGATCGCTTTCATGCTTTTTCATTGATCAAATGGTTGTGTCTGCAATCTTAAACAGACGTATGTGTCTGTTAAAACCTAGAGACTACTTCTTGTTTGTAATCCATTCCAAAAGAAGCATCTATGCAGTCTGAGAATAGTAGGGTAGAATTTCAGTACTGAACAATAAGAGTTCACATCCCCCATGAAATTCAGTCCCTCTAGAACACCAGAAAACTCTGGAAATGAGTGTTGGTGAACATCAGGTTCGAGTCGAAGGGCATTTTGACAGCGGACACTTAACCTGAAACAATATGTCAGTAAATCTACTATACACTGATAAATTGAGCACGTATAATTCAGAGTTCTGTATTCTTTGAGCATGAAGTCTTCATCATTCAGTTCATAAAATGTTAGCTGTTAGGTTTTCTCAAAGAATGATTTATGCGCACTCTGATGATAACTTGGAATATGACCAGTTGTTTGCTTCAGAGGTGTGTTCTGTGTGGCAATCAAATGACCTGTTGTTCAGTATATCAGCAACCATCAGAAGATGATACACAACACTCTGTTTCGTCTGATTTCCAGATAATCTTAGATTTATCAACGTTTGATATTTACCAACCTCTTATCCCATGGACAACATGATAGGAAGTCGGCAAAACGGTTAGAGAATAGCATTAGCAATGATTGGCCTAAATCATGTGTTTTGGGCTTTCTGGATAAAATGAGAAGGAACACCTCCTAACATACACCGTTAACCAGTGTTTGGAGAAATCTGGTGGAATGAAGTGTCAATAAGACCTATAATGATGAAGATCCTTGTCGATCATTTCGCTACACACCTTCTCGTGAAACATACTGAAACACACACTCTTCATAACAAGCAGGCAAACTCAAGTAGATAGGAGACATGCCTAGAGGAGAAGAACAGCTGAAGATGCTAGACTGACTCACATCATGGAATTATCGTCTTCTCTAACCACTATCTACACAAAATCATTCAACAATCATTTGAGCGATTTCATCATTTCACCAGTCACAGCTATTTCAAATGAAATGATGTTTCACTTTATAAAATCCATTCAAAAATATAAAACATCTCATCACTTACCAAACAGATTAGATTGAGAAGACGAAAAACGCTGCGCACAGTAGAACGCATCACAATGTTAACTCCTAAAATTTTATACAAAATAAGAAAACATTCATCATTTCAGTCAACATGTTCAACAAATTCGTACGATTTCTCTCAGTGAAGCAATAGACAGTTGATTGAGTTGAATAACAGAGGACCACCTTCACAACCTTTGAAATATAAACTGATGACTATGTCACTTTGCAGTAAATGTAAGTCTTTCAACTGAATCATTTCTCAAGTGTAATCTAATGCTGTAAAACTACACAATATCTACTCTGAGGTCGATGAGAACACAATTTCTGCATATTATACTTCCCTTCCAAGTCGACATATGCAGTTGGAGAGCAAGTGAACTTCACAACTATGTGAAGTGAATGAACAACAAAACTTATTTCCACAATAAATTACTTACTCCACTCAGTGAAATATCTGAATTCAATCTGAAGATGAAGGTATAGTGATTTACATATGGCTGTGTGATATATATTGAGTATTTTCACTGTGACTCATGACAGAAGCTCACAAGATTGGTAGATCTCCATCGGTAAGAATATTGAGCACAAAAGTCACCAGAGAATGTCAGCTGCATCATCTTCGATCAAAAGTCCTACTACTAAACATACATTCTCTCGATGTGAAATTCATAAATACATCGAAACTATGTTTCGTCTTTATTCACACTTGTACTCGTATACCATTTTGATTGTCTCATCTCATTCTTATTATTTCAATTTATTCTCAAGCTGCTTTTCATTCACTTTTGATTCAACATTTTCTGATTTTCCACATGTTTATTGAACTCACTGTCAAGGATTCATCTTATCGTTGAAATTCCATGTTTCGCTCTTCTTTTCAATCCAACTCTATAGTTCCCTCTCCCACTATGTGTGAGCTGTTAGTGATTCTGACTACGATTTCTAACTACTGGTGTTTGCATTTAGTAATCGCATATTTTCACAACAACTACTTGATTTCTGTCTGTCAATATATCTAAAACATTTTATGTAGTCCTTGTGTTTGATGTATCAAAATATGTTTAAGTCACGTTGTAGCAAAAAATGAATGGTGAGATGAAGTGAGTCTATTCACTCTTGAAAACGTTTTTTCCCCCTTGTTTTATGCTCAGTCACAGGATTGAGGTAATTGGGCACCAGCAAGAGACACTTCATAGATGAATTAAGAAGAACTGATCACAAGTGAGAAATCATTCTTTTCTTTTGGAGGATGTGTATGATGATGGATAAGAGGGTGGAGTCGAGAAGGAGCTGGATCTGATCAAGTATGTGTGCGTGCTGGTACTGCTGAGCATGCAGAAATGCAAATGTGATCATCGAGTCAACAATACCATATGTCTTCGTGCATTATGTATAAAACAAATGGGATGTAGAATTACATTCATCTACAGTGTCTGAGTTAAGCAGCGATACTGGCAACTTCACAGCTGTAATTCTTTACTGTATTCACAACATAACTTCCTTATTAGGTAAATTTTAAACCTCTGTCTTTTGAAGGATGTGTGTGATGATGGATAAGGGAATGCAGTCGAGAAGAAGCTGGATTTAATCAACTGTGTGTGCTTGCTGGTACTACTCAGTATGGCCCATTTTACAATTTGAGGAAAATCACGTAAACTTAGTGTCCCCAACTTACATCACCATTGCTCTATACAGATCATCACTGACGGATGCACATTCCAAACGGCAAGGTAACAGGACATACCTAATATGAAATGCTAAGAAACACGGAAATTAAATGAAGCATTGTTTCTCGCCAGTTGGCATGAGAGCTGTAGCGCAGACCAAAGTCTACGTGATCATTGTATTTACGACACCTATGGCCACATTTCAAACATCATCGACGTTTATCGAGTACACTTTTGAAGGAATTAATAGTCTATATCAGTTACTACGCCGTATTTAATCTCCTTGTCCAATCCTCTTCGTATAGTTATTGTCTAAATTATGATAACTAATCATTCAGTGTAAATTGTATGTCTTTTGTTGTATGGTGCATGTATGTTTTATGTGTATGTGTATATGCACTACAATTCATTTCGTCTAGATTGTAAATATCAGACAAAAAAGGCATTGGTGACATAGTCATTCGTTAATTTTATAAGTACAAATTGAAAAGGATGAGGTGGATATGTATAGAATTTCAGTTGGAATAATGTATTGAATAGTGTAAGAAACTTTTCTTCTCATTGATTTACCGGAATAGAGTGGAAATGAGTGGTAGTAATGATGGTGATGATGACGATAGTAATAATGATTCAAACTAGTCCAGGTTGTGTTGTTGTTGGTGTAGAAATAATTGAATTGAGACTAGTGTTGACGATAAATGTTTTGAGTCACTCTTTCTGCTTACTAATTAGTAATTATCAAGAGGCAGCTAACTGTACTCCATTTCGTCTGTTCAAACTGTCTGGATTCGCCCAGGGCTTTGGCTGTAAGTTTTTCTTGGTATGACCCAAAACCTTTTTATAGAACCTTAGTTCCGTCTAAGTCAATTTTGTGTCTCATTACTATGGAGTGTAGCGCGATTGCGGATTCGTTTTCTGGTTTGTTAACCTCTGCTGAGGTTTTTGGTTTCTTTAGTTGAATGAGAAATGCATCGCAATCAGCTATGCATCCCACTCCAGAGGTCTATCAGGCGAACGAGAGGAAATATTATGCAGTCTATAAAATATTCGGTCAGTGTCATCCATCTTCACTTTCATTATCCATTAACCAAATGGATAATTACCTTTTATTATTTGTCCTTTAAGTTTCTAGTGAAACATAGGGTTTCAGTAGTATATCGCCATCCCACTCTCTTCTCTCCATTTTTTAAAACCTGGATTCACGACTCCCTACAAGCTTTCATTTCTTCCTCACACGATCTCCTCCATGTGACCCTCGGATGCCCAACTCGTCGTTTCCCATTTGGATTCAACTCGAGGGCCTGGCCTGGCGCGTGGTATCCCCAAACGCCCTTTTTAGGGTATGTCCGGTATAATCCAATTGATGTCAACATTCTTCTGCATATTTATTGGGCGATAAGTTCTTGGTTGGTTCGTTGCCAGAGTGAGTTCCTTGTTCCGTATTCTTTCTGGCCTTCTGATCTGAATTTCAGTACCCAGTGTAGGCGGCAGCTGTTGATGTATGTCTGTACTGCTTTTCGTAACCCGCCAGTTCTTGCAGCTATCACACAGAAGCACTGACTTGACTGAATTAGTGTTGAAAATTCATATCTCTTTTATGCCGAGTGCCGTGCCGTGCATTGCAGTAGATCTCCACGCTGCTTTCACACTAATGAAGGCTTGTCTTGTTGTCTTACCGATCCTGGCTTTGACATCCTCATCTGTGCCGCCACCACCGCCTGCAGTTGAAACGATGCTGCCTAGGTAGGTAGGTGGGTGGAAGAGACAACTTCCTCTAGATTCCTACCGTTTATGGTGGTTGGTGCTTGTTGTAGTTGGTTGGATATCTTCACCACCTCTGTCTCCTTTACATTCACCTCAAAGAAAACCTGTCTTCGCTGCCCTGGCTGTTCTGCCAACTTGTTAGTTTTCGCCTGTAGATCTTCTAGTTCGTGCGACATTAGACATTACACACAAATCATTATCGGTGAAATGCAAATGTTTAAGGATCTTTTCACTGGTCAAACACAGTATGTCCATCTCGCTGTTCATAGTATCTTGCATAATCCAGTCCAGTCCAATCGACCACAATCGGGAAGATCACCGGTGATAGCAGGTAACCTTGTCTTGTTTTACTGCTGCCTTCACTTCAAAGGCATCACTGAGCTTTCCATTGTGAATCAATTGGCATGTAGCATCATCATATTACTGCTGTTGAATGAGGTTGATTAGGGTTTGTGGCACTAAAACCGTAGTCTTGGAGCAGCTGGTAAATTACTTACTTCTCAGTCGACGCTATCGACAGCCTTTTCGAAGTCTATGAAATTGAGGCAAAGTGTTGATTGTTATTCTGTGTTCTGTTCTGTGATGATGCATAGCGTTGCAATTTGATCCGCAAATTATGTCTTTCGTGAATCCAGGCTGTTCCGGTCATAACTTGAATGCAGAGAATTTTTAAGTCTCTCCAGAATGTTGTGGCCCATATTTTTCTCGGAGTGGACAGGAGCATAATTCCGCGCCAGTTCTTGCAAAGACTTAGGTCACTCTTCTTTAAGAGTTTGATAAGATAGCCCTTCTCCTAATTTTTTTCAGGTACCTTTCTTACTTCCTTCGTCCCAAACTTCTGCAATGGTGATGTGAACAAGTCCGCTGTCGATTTCTCTGTTCTGTGTTCAGTGCTTCTGGAGGAAATTCATCTGGTCGTGCTGCTTTCCCGCCTATCAGCAACTTTATGACGTTCAGAACTTCACTCCTGGCTTTTGTAGGAGGGTTTGTGTAAACTGACGGTTCTGTGACTAGGCTGGTGGTGGAATTTCTAGACGAGCTGCAGGTGGTGATGGTCGATTCAAGAGTTTTTGAGGTCGTCAGTCCATGGTTTACTTTGTTTCTCCTCTTCTTAACTAAGTTTCATTCACTACCTTTCATTGGTTTCATCGGAATTTATCTCTTCCAGGATAGTAACCTGGTTATTTGATATAATGTTGCCAGGTCTCTCCTACTGGCGGCCGGTCCTGCTTCATTTGCAAGTGTGTCTTAGAATGTCTTTTGTCTTTCCGCAAGTTCTCTTTCACTTCTTTGTTCAGTATTTTATAGGTAGTACTCAATTCCTCTTTTCGCTGTTCATCCTTACACTACACCGGTTCTTCTTCTTCTTAACCATCTTCCTCTTCCACCTTTGTCAGTTTCCATGTGTCCTTGGAGATCCATTCTTGTCATGCCTCTTCTACCTTTCTAACACGTTATACCGGTTTCCTTCCACATCACTTTCACACAGTTCCAGTGTTCTTCTATGCAGGTTTCTTAAAGGATGTTACTTAATGTCTCCCATTTTTTCCTGACGGCTTACTAACGTGAAAATGTCCCTTCTATTTCGTATTCAGTTTCCGCTCTGGTGTTGAACTTGAACTGTGGCCTATCGCATACATCTTTCATGGCTTTCAATTTGATTTTGAAAGTTCCTTGCACCAGATAGTGGTATGAACATACATCTGCTGCTCTTCTTCATGTTGTGTTCAGTATGCTTGAACTCCAGCAGATGATTGGGATGAAGCCGATCTGATTTTTAGTATGTCCATCTGGTGAAATCCATGTGGCATTGCGAATATCCATATGTTTGTACCCAGTGCTTCCAATCAGCAGTGTTTAAATGCACAAAAGTCTGCAAACAAATCTCCGATCTCGTAAATTTCAACGAGTGCTTCTCGACTCATAATGAGATATCATCGTGTGTTGTCTGATACCAGTTTGGCATTCATGTCATCCCACCCATTAGAATTCTGATATCATCATCTGGGCTCCACCGAATGCTCCGAAGGCCATGATCGCTGACTGAATTATTCTGTTGCAAAGTCTACAACTTCAGTAAACAATAAAGTCACTTCGATTATCTCATGAAATATGAATTTCAACAAAGTTCACGGAAGGAAACTTGAGCAGTGAAAACTCTGTTCAAGAACTTGCTTCTGTGTGCTACTCAACACAAAACACTGAGTATTCTCAGACTGATAACAAACATGAAAATATTCAACCCGATATATCAAGTTGAAAACTATGAATTTTGGTGAGGATGTGAACACCTTCCCATATTTATGAGGGAACGTCACCTTAGTGTGATAGACTGTAATGTCTAAAATGTTGCCAAACCAGCCTTGAAAATGTCTGCATAAACTACACCTTAGTTTATTCGTCATGTACTGAAAATTCCTTTCATGAATCTGGATATCTTTGGTTGAGATCAAAACATGCACATGACTAGCTCACCGAAATTCGAACAGAATGCATACGCATGCAATTGCCGACAGTGAATACACCACATTCATTCATGAGATTTTCATTATCATCATTAATCTATACAGTTGTTCATCCACAACGCTTTGCATATTTTAACACATTGTAAAGAATGTGGATCGTAAGAGGGAGTGATCCATTGTATTTATCTGAGCAATATTTCGCAGATGCCTTTGTCAAGAAAGGAAATTTCAGAAAGTGTCCTTCCACCAACACGTTCGTGTCTACTCACACTCATAATCGTAGTATACTTGCACCCATTACCAAAGTCACAGTGAATTTCACGTTTGAAATCATAAAATGTGAATATGTATTCAAAAGCGTTAACATCAACACAAGTGAAACGTGTCTCTCCTTCGCCATCACTGAATAACACCACGTGAATCAGTCACCATTTGTATGCTACTTACACTTTGGTGATCTGTAGTACCAGTCGAAGACTATCGATTACTCAATACATTGTGGTCACCATGCTCACCAGTGTGATAAACTGCTTCTGCTTTTGCATCCTCAGGTTGCGTGGATGAGGATTCCTCGATGTGTCATTCTGCTCTGACCGTGTTGTGAGCTGCTCAGTGAAGGTTAGCAGCACTATTTGCGAACATCGTGTTCGCCAACTGGAATCGGAAATTACCAGACAGAATGAAGTCGTTTAGACATGTGAGTTCAACTTTCCGAAAGGAAACGACGAGTGAGAAGAATCACAATCGGAGATTTCTCTTTGACACTGACAGATGTCTCACACAAGCATACACACAGACACATACTTCCCGACCTTACCATCTCTTCAGAAAATACAACGACGCATTCTCTAAACATGACTCATTCAATATTTTCATCCTGATTAAGATGAGTGCTGCAATCATAGTAATAGTTCGGCAGCCGTTCCATGAAGCAACACCCCCAACTGATCGGAAAGCCAACCAGTCAGTCTCATAAACAGCGTCACGCTTCATGTGCGTCAAATAAATTTCACTTTATGGTTAGCATAGTGAAACGACTTAACTACTCTCACCCAACATTAGAATTAACAATGGAAGAAAGCAGACTTCACAATTCCCTCTCTGTCTGACCTACCGATATGATGAAATGATGTTGCACTGAGGAGGCACATGTACAAAAATGCTGACATAGAGTGAACACGTATCAAAATCCTACACCTCACTAACATTAATGGGAAACATGACCCAACTCGTGTTTCACGTTCACCAAAATGGAAAGCTACACTCACAGAATAAACCGAGTAGGAATTAGTTCCTTGGAATTCACCTCTTTGATAAATCGGTATGAGATACTTTTCGTCGAGCAAAATGTGAAGCACGACAACACATTGAGAAACAGCAGTACTGCATCCAAGATGAGCCCTTTACTACACACACTCAAACTCACCACAATTGATCAAGAACAACTTAGCTTCCATCCAAACGACAGATGAAGTACAAGTCGGTTGATCTCAATATCAGTTGACCTGAATTTGAGAATTCGGGTGACTCACGACCAAGTATCTCTCAACTGAATGAAGTACAGTCGACATCTGGTTACTGATGGTATCATGTGTCTGAGTCGGTCAGTAGACTATTAGATGACAGTTAAGATGACAGTATCTGATCCAACATCTGTCACAATCCAAGTTTCACCAACAGTTACACATCTCCTCTGCAAATTATCACTCTCTCAGTCAACTACTCTGCAAACAATGTGTTAAATAACAGCGACAAAAACTCCATTCCAACCTCACATAACTCTACTCTCTAACAGCAAAAATATGACATACTCCAAAGTTACATAAACCCCAGAAGCTTGGAATCACAATCACTACACCCAACAGTTTTGTCGAATTACACCTAACTGATCTCATCTCCAGCATGAGATGGGATGAGATGAGATGAAACATCGATGTAGTTCAACAGTGATGTGTACTGTGGAAACCACTTACACAAATATTGCCATAACTCGAGTTTCTGTACAAGTTCAATCACATTCACTATACAGAATGAAATTACATTTAAAAAAAGACAATGTCCACAATCTACAACAATTCCGTATATAAAAAACACAAAAGTACGAACACGAACTGGGATTAAGATGACACATCCCACTAGTTATGATCACATAGTTCTTCACACTGCTGCAACTTCATTGTTCTCAGTTATTCAGAAAGTCACTAGTCGATTGGCAGTAATTGTAAAACCACCAACATGAAGTCAATCGAAATGCAGGTGATTTATCAACCCTCAATCTAATCCCCTCAACACAAAATCGTCATCATTAAACTACATAAAATATGCAATTTCATTTAGTTAATACACGAAACTCACAGATTTCATCAACTTTCCACCCACATCAATTCACATCGACAATGTGTTATGCGTTAGGCATTTGATCTACACTTTATCCACTCTGATTCACAACTGCATTACACTGAATGAAAAATCACTTAGAATCTAAAATATTTGCTCTAGTCCCACAATCTAATCACATCTCACTTTCCAATCAGCATGTAATCATTGTTGTCTAAATAAAGTAGAAGTTATTAAATGATAGAGTTCTACTGACAGCATGATTCAAAATGTTGTCATTAAAAGATGCATCCATCTTCACGACTGCTTTGTTTTTGTAATAATCAATTTCATTCCATTAAAAATCTATGATGATCATCTGATCAGAGAAGGCGATGTAGAGATCAGAATGGAAATCAATGAAACATGTGACTGAGTGTGTGTTAGATACTTGTAGATATGTGTGAGCATGTGGTTTATTATACACTGAACTGATGAATTGTTTACCTTGAGGTGTGTTTTACATTTGTCAGCTTTTCTCACTTGAATCTCTGGAAGAATTACCTAACAAATGTGATAAATATACTTCATGCATCGTGCGTCAACTGCTCACGTAGTCCTTGTTATCTGGTGCTTATGGAGGGGTAGCTGTGACGAGAAAGCTTTATGTTTCGGTGAGGAATTCACTTATTTTATATAGAAATTAGTATAAAGATGCTTTGCTTTGTAATGTGGCTTAGACTAAGCCATTTGAAAGTCATCGAATAGTCAGTTAGTTCATTGTTAATAATCTAGAGAAGTTGTTTTCGAGTGGATACACTCAGCATCTCAACGATTATGAAGGTAGCTGTTCTGCTATCATTCGTGGGATTTACTGCCCGTCACAGATATCTTATCCTCGAAATCCATCGGATAATTAGATAGTGAAGACCACACTCACAGAAAGCTGAATGTCATGTTTGGATTTGGAGAGTCAGTCATGGATTACCTTTCTATCTATAACTACTCATGTATAGCAGTCACAGTCTGTAACTCACTTGCCTCACTCTTGTAACATCAATGCAGTCATATTCCTCATTCTCACCAGTGTTGCCAACACAATGAGAGCAGATGCTGTCAACAAAGTGGATGACGGTTGGGTGTCTGGGTGTCTACACCCAGAGATCAGAGCAAGGCATGTGGTTTGAACTTCGCTGTCTAATAGTCATATCAAGCGATTCATCATCAACTTTTCAGGTGTTCACTGACACCCAAGACTGCCAAGTGTTTTGTTTCTCGTTAATTCTTCGTGTTTGAGTGGCTTCCGCGTTACTCACATGATGACACTACGAAACACATCATGTGCTACGAAGGCAGCTGTCTTCAAACACCAGAAGCATTCTCACTCCCTCTAATTTTAATGGCCATATTTCACAGCCATACAGCAGAGCGTACTGTGACGCAGTACACTCCACCCTCAATAATGGGCAGTTGGATGTCACGCCGGTGCCACACATGGTGTTATTCGGCGAAACTCAATCCACCTCAACCATTTCTCTCTTTATTTTCAACGAAGATAACACCAAACACCACTCTCAAATAGCAATTTGTATTTGAATGGTGAGAGATGTATCCCAAAAAAATACACAAATTACTACTCAAGCTGTCAAGCAGACTAAACCTCATTAGCGTCTTCATCTATCACGACTATTTCATCCATGTACTCCACATCCAGTCGGAATTAACGGGTGATAAGATCAATCGATCTCCATGAAATCAGACGACGAGGAGGATACCTCCATATCCACATCTCTGATAAAATTAAATAAGATTGAGGAGAATGTACATTCCTAGTGGACACCATTCGACACATACAATTCACCATAATCTCCAACACACCTAAAGGTGCTCAAGTCGAGAGATTTCAACAGAGTGATTTACTTAACCGGCAACTCTCTCATCGAAATCCGCCTCACTATGAATTGGATGTCACCTTCAAATTGAGAGAGACAACTACAGTTTGTTACTGGTAAGCGTGTCGAAGCGTGTTCCAAGGCCTATCGACGGTTTATGATCCAGTCGATGCACCCAAGCCTAGGTCTGAAACCTATTCAGTGGTCTCAGGTTCTCTCTTCCGAGGTTTAACTTGATATTATGATAATTATACAACTTGGAATTTCTGTCATTATATTGAACAGGCTGAATCACATGAGGATTCTTCTTTTTTCTCAACGAATATGTGAATCAGTCGTAGTCACCAGCGAAAACGGATGAAATCCGTTTTCATACTCTGGATGACACTTCAGTTGATTTGACTAATAATCCTCAACCATGATCCATAAATATTTCTAATACTACTCCATCCTGCCCTGCTCTATTTGTGTTTTAGGGAACTGACAGCCTCTCCAAAATCTATAAGTTCTAGGGCCTCATCACAGTGTTCCATTTGAGATTCGTCTGGATAATGGGTAACAGAATAGTATCTTGAAGCTACCTGAGTTTTTCCTCAAAATATTCCACTCATAGTTCAAGTCGTCTCTTCTGTGAATTAAACGAGACAAACGTTTCTTCTTCATGATCTTTCTAACCACTAACATTTCTGCTGCATTTTCCTTGATCTTTCTAAGTAGCTGCTATTTGGCATCACAGTCTTTTCCACTTCATTGGCCTTCGCCACCCACCACTGCAGCAATTGGCTCAAGCGCATTCACGATTTCAGATGAAGCTGCTGGGATCCACTATTATTACACCAGACGGATCTCTAGACTTCTCCTGGATGCATGACCTCGTTTTCTTCCGACAGTTATCTAACCAGTGTCTGGTTGAAATCAACCTCGGCATTCTCATCATTAAGCATCACCAACAGCAGTGTTGTTGCTAAGGTTTTTTAAAGTCCATTTTTACACAGACATACATGTGCCAAAACCGCCACATGACTACCGTTTAAACATTAGCCAGAAAAGCAATAGCAATCTTCCACCAAGCTTTTTAGCGACAAATCTAGTCTCTTTTTGTCCAGTGTGCATTTGGGTCGGTGGAGTCAATCTCAGATTATGTATATTTTATATTTGAAGTTAGTGCTGACTAGGAGTGGGTAGTTGGCTGATCACGCTTGTAGTTGATTGTAAGTATCTGTTCGTTCAGGTGGAATTCGAAAGTACCACCTGATTGCCTTTTGTCTGACTTAACGTACCCGAATGTGCATTGAAATCACCTGCAACAGCTACCACGTCTGAGTTTTTGGCTTTCAACAAGAGGCTAGACAGTTTTCGGCAGAACTCATCTAAAAATTCGATCAAACTGCAGTCAGAGATAGTGTCAGCAGAGACTATGAAGCAGCAATTGTAAGTCTATTGCTCTCCTTAAAACTCGCTATCTCGTTCACTCAAACAGCGCATAGACAATTGTCAGCTGCTATCCAGCTGAGCAGTGAAGTATTTGCTCAGCTTTTAACACAACTTACAACTGACAGACTATTATTGCAATCTGTCGAATGTTCAGGAACTAGAAGGGCGACTTTTACATATTCACCGTATTGATTAGTTGAGGTTGTGTGAACACTGCAGTCGGGTTCCGTATGCCTGCCTCACAAAAAAAGCATATTCCCAAAGCCTATGATACGAAACTTATTGGTCGATTTGACGGAGAATCAGGAAGTGTGAAGCTAGAATATTCAGTCTTGAGTGGAGTACCGGGGAAAAAATATTTTATCGTGTTAACTCGAATCGTTATCTACAGGCATAAAACTATAAAGCACTTACCAAGATGTGGGAATGCCGACCAAGAGATATAAGGAAAAATTAGGTGATGTGAAGGCTTAACAGTGATTTGAATGAATTTGTGTGCCAACAGAGTTGTGAGAGTGATTCAAACTTCCTAATTATCCACACCACGGGAGGCTTCTTCTTCTTGAGATACCTGAAGAGGAAATAGGATTAGTAATAGTAGTGCTTGATCAAAAATACCAAAAAAGAACCTTCTTGAAGCCGGTCACATACGGTCATCTTAAAAGTTTGAGCTATGTTTGTTTGCTTTGAATCCAGCCGTAATCCAGTATCACCACCACCTCAGAATATGAGTGAGCATGCAATTTGGGAGCTATCTTTTCTTTGTTCTACCTCATTCCCTTAGGGAACACAACATCAGCATGATAATACTGGTCATTCACAGGAAATACCTTACCGCTGTCACACCCAATCGAGTCATTAGAACCACTTCCCTTTCGTACCCTGATCGTAGATTAGTAATTTAAATACAACTATAAACCACTATCCAGCAAACCTTCCTGGTAAGGTAGGATTTCAAGCGAATGTATACTGCACCAGCATAAGTCGTTCAGTCGTTGTGGTATTCAATTCCAATCATTATACCAATCTAACATCTGTCAGCCAGGTTCAAATATGAGCAGTGTTGTAATCTAGATATCTATTAGAATGCACTGACTGAAAATATTCTTATTATGTTGCTTTTCTGTTTTTATCCGACGATACAGTTCAGAAGTATTAGTTCGTTTACATAGAATTCACTCTCTTTGAAGAATTTATTAATTGGAAAGAGCAAGAACACTAGTGGAATCAGGATAGTAAGAATCCATTTTATTTCGGCGGTATATTGCCAACTGGTTACAGATTAAAAAATGAAAATTATGTAGTTTCACTAAGCATTTAAGGCACTTCAATCCACTGGAATGAAACGATATATCAGTCCGTAGTTGGGATGAAGAAAAATAATCATAACATAACAGTATATCATAACCTCAAATCCCAGGAAAATTTAGTGAATGATGATAATTTATTACAATTACGCACACAATCCAGTAGAAGTTTCTCGAATAAAAAAAGGTTGCAATCACAAAATTAAGTCATTCGATAAGTAGGCTACCAAACATGTAAAATAATGTGAGTTAATCTCAGTAGCTTGAAAACTATCCATATGAACAAATTCGATCTAACAAAAGATGATGCAAGTAAATCACAGCGATAATGTAATAGGGATGACGTAATCAAATAACAGTTAAAAAAGGTTACCAATGTAGACAGAGGTTGACAATAACTTCTTTTTGAACCGTTATATTTAAGGCCTAAGGCTTTGAGACCATAGCCTCAGTGAAATTCAGGAGAATTTAGTTTGTTTGCCTGTTTTTGATTTGAGGGTAATGAAGACGTCTGTCTGTTATCCAGTATGAATCAGAGGCCAAGTGACTGAGCTTTTCAAAGTATTGCTTCAACCAAGTCATAGGACCTTTGGAATGCTTTCGGAAGATCTTTGGTACGTCCTTCTTTCTGTTTTTTCAGTGCGTCTGCTTCGGTAGCTATAAGCCAACTGACACACACAGTTGCAAGTAATATAGGAAGGATACTTCTAGACTTTTGACTAGACTAATGAACACATTATTTCGTACAAAGGATGTAACCTGGTTGCAGGGTAAGTTTTAGTGAATAACGTCTTCAACATTCTTATAACAGTTCCTGCAATATCATCGCTGTCAAAATTACTGCGAATGAATCTAGGCCTTTTTCTGACAGTAGTTCTCTTCGGCTTCTTGTCTTCTGCTTTCCCATATCTGCTGGTAATG